TAGGGATTAGGGTGTAGGGATTAGGGTTTAGGGATTAGGGTTTAGGGTTTAGGGTTTGGGGATTAGGGTTTAGGGTTTAGGGATCCTACTGTGATTTGACGTAGATTCCTTAAGTAGCATGGAGTTTTGGAAGATCTGGGAAGCTGAACGCTAAACCCCTAACCCCAAACCCTATGTAAACGCCTCACCCAAAACCCTGAACTGAATCCTATATATAGGGTTTAGGGTTTATACACCCTATAAACCCTAAACCCTCTAAACCCTGAACCCCCCTTGAAAGACTTTTTTACAAAAGAAGCGAGGACTGTTCCTTCGAAGCGGGCTCTGTGGCCGGGGCTCCTTTGAGGGTGAGCTGGTACTGCGCCTCAGGAAACGAGGGCTCGCAGGGTTTAGGGTCGTCTAGGGTTTAAACCGTAATCCCTGAACCGTAAACCCCTAAGCCCTAAAGCCTAAACTTTAGGGTTTGAGGTCCCCCCCCTAAACCCTAAACCCTAAACCCTAAACCCTAAAGCCTAAACTTTAGGGTTTGAGGTTCTGGTTTAGGGTCTAGGGTTGGTTAGCCCTAGGGCTCCAGTTACCTACATAATGGGTCACTGGGCTATATATTATATGGCTAGCAACCTACGATTTAGGTAACTGGAGCCCTAGGGTAGGGTTTGGGGTTAGAGTTCACGGTCTCCGGAGTGTTTAGGGTTGTTTAGGTTCTAGGGTTTGGGGTTAAGGGTTTGTCGTAGGGTTTTACGGTTCGGGAGCGCAGCGGACTGTTGTTACTTGACCTTCTTCCCTGCAGAAAGTGATTTTTGTAGTCTCTCTGAGCATACCCGAGTCCTTGCAACTTAGTTGTCGAAGCTTCTGATCTGTATTCTCAGGCATGTGGGTTCTGTAAAAGCTTAGGTGGAGACTGCCCACAATGCCAGATGATGTGGGGTTCTACTAGGCTTAGGGTTTCGGTAAGGTTCAGGTTCATATCATGCAGTTTGATAAGTTTAGATATGGTTGATTTTTACAATCGCACTGCGCATGTTACTGTTTCTAATGATACCCTTAGCGCCCAAACACTCCTTATGCCAGGACTGTCGAGCCAGGTTTTGGCATAAGCAAGGATCCCCTAAGCCCGAAACCCTAAACCCCTAAACCCTGAACCCCCAAACCCTAAAGCCCTGAACCCGAAACCCAAAGCGCTACTTGGACCCTTAGGGATAGGCCTGCGCCGTGATTGGCCCTTTTCCAAGGCCGTCGGGCTTCTATGCCCCTCTTGTGCATCCGGTGCTGGGTTTAGGGTGCGGGGTTCAGGGTTTAGGGTGCAGGGTTTAGGGTTCGGGGTTTCGGATTTTGGCTTTAGGTGTTCAGGGTTGTACTACCGTAGCCTGAAGAACTACCAGCATTGATCTGTGGGCTCCCTTCTTATGCGTATGCTGTCATAGTGCAAGATGAAGGCCCCCCAAGGGTCTTCCACCGGGTCAGCTATGGAAGTTCGGTCACCTTTGACGAGAAACCAGGGGAGTGGAGTGAGGCAGTAGTGGTGCACGCTTACCTCGAACCGCCGGCCGTCAGACTTTTTGCTGAAGCTTAGACTGCAGCCAGGTATTCCTTTCCATGAGATGTTCTGACTTCGACACTAGGAGCCCTGAACCCTGAAACCCTGATTTAGGCCTCTGCAAGGCAGCCATCGCTGGGCGAATTTTGATTTGATTTCGCTTTCGCTGGCCCATGGGCCAGGGGCAGAGCCCTGCTTGTTGCTTGGAGAGCGAACAGGGCGAGATCGAACCGCCCCGATTCCATCAGGACCGGTTGGGTGGAGGGGTTGTTGAATACTCTCTCACATTGCTCAGGACACCAATGTGCGCAGTTCTCAAAATGAGGAAAGTAGTATGGCACCCTTATTATTAAAAGGACCCTCAAAGGGACGCTCATTTAGAAAACTACGAGTGAAACCATACGTGGTTTAGGTTTTGGCATCAGGAGGAGGAAGAGGACCCCGAGAAGGTCCTAACCAACACTGCGAACGACCTCGTCAGCCAAGGTTTAAAAGATGTCAAGAGACCTGGTCCTTGTTTTCATTATCTTTACGTTTCGGGTTTTAGGGTTCAGGGTGTTGGGGTTCAGAGAGTTTGGTCTGAAGACGCGCTTGTACTACCTCAAGTTGTTCAGGTGAACTTATTAAACTGCTTTCCACTACATGGGGCTCCTTGGGAATGTTGGGATGCATTGTCAAAACTCTAAACCCTAAACACTATACCCTAATTAAACTTTAAACCCTATAAACCCTAAATGCTATACCCTAATTAAACCCTAAACCCCAAACACTATACCCGAATTCAGATACTAGCGACAGAGTCTGGACTTCTCAAAACCTTCTGTAGCATGAAACTTAACCCATAGGCCCCATAGTAGTTCCTTCATGGGGTTCATACTTAGAATCCGATACGGTAATCCCAAAAAGGAACTACTATGGGGCCTATGGGAAGACCTGCTTGGGCATTTATTCCTGAAGCCCGCAGCTTACGACCCTAATCCTGAAGCCTACAGAGGCCAAGAGGGGCTTCAAAGGTAGGATGAAGGTCGGTAGGATTTTGAGGATCCCTTACATAAGGGCCCTTACCCTAGGGCTCCAGTTACCTACATAATGGGTCACTGGGCTATATAATATATGGCTAGTAACCTACGATTTAGGTAACTGGAGCCCTAGGGTTAACTAGGAATACCCCACCTATATACCTTGATCCCCCCCTGGATCCCCTTGAGACCAAGGATTCAACCCTAAACCCTAAACCTTAAGCTCTAAGCCCTAAACCCTAAACCCTAAACCCTAAACCCTAAACCCAGGATACAGAAGATCGGGAGCTTCAAGGCGCCGCAGGGCATGGGCAACATGCCCGCGGATCTCACCAAAAGTGGTCGAGAACTGCTGCGGGGAATCCCTCTTCGCAGGACGCTGCAGCACGGAGGCGGCTAAACTTACGGTTTAGGGTTTAGAGTTTAGGGTTTAGGGTTAAGGGTTTAGGGTTTAGGGTCTAGGGTTTAGGGTCTAGGGTTTAGGGTCTAGGGTTTAGGGTTTAGGTGGGTTTAGGGTTCATCTCCTTAAACCCAACGTCTAGATCCCTAGTTGCTACATGAAAGGGGTTTAAACACAAAGCAAAGATTCGTTTGCCCCCCTAGATCGGGATCTCATTGTTGAAACTGAGCACTAGGCAACAAAAGCACGACGGGGTTACGGGAACCAAGTGATGGATTCTCGGTATTTGTAGCCTCTAAACCGTCGAAACCCTACCTGTAACCGAAAAGACATACCTTTTTAAGGAGCTGTATATATATATATATATAAAACCATAATAGGGAACCCTAAAAAGGGTAGGTCTTTCCGGCTACAGGTAAACCCTATAAAGAGCATTGGTTGAAATTCTTGGAGGCAAATCCTAAACCCTAAACCCTAAACCCTAAACCTAGAGCCCAGATCTGGCCGACAACCAGAACAGTAGAAGCCCAGAAGTTGGAAACCCAATAGCCTCAATCTTTAAGACTAATGTATAGGGGATCCCAGCACTTTTTGTCCTTAATCCGGTTTTTCAACTTTTTGGGGTTTACTGTACATACCCTCATGAGCATGATTGAGGTCAAGCGTGTTTCGCCGATATGTAGCCTTAAAATGCTAGCCTACAGCCCCTTTTCAGCCGTAGATTCGAAACCCTAAACTTCTATAGTGATCCCCAGAAAGTTGGAGCATGGATGTGGGGTGATTAGTGCGGCGGGGGTTCCTTATAATCGACCTTTAGGGTACGAGGATAATGATGTTCCAACTTTCTGGCTTCTCCGATTCATTCCCCTGGGCCCTAAACCCTAAACCCTGAACCCTGTACCCTGTACCCTATAACCCTAAACCCTGAACCCTGGAGGCAAGTTGTGGAGGTACAAGCCGACGGACCTAGACCTGCTAGAACGCGAGAAGCTGTACTCCTACTCCCAAGAAGTTCCAGAACTGGACATGTGCCCTAGGCAGCACTGAATCTTAGGGTTTAGGGTTTAGGGTTTAGGGCCTAGAAATTCAGGGTCTAAAGATTAGGATGCGCTTCATGGGGTATGTTATAGCATAGTTATGCTTCCAAGCAGGAGCCCTGATGAAAAGCACTGGTAAGCTGTAGCTACATTGGGGTCTAAAGTTATATAGTGGGAGCGCCAGGAGTATAACAAATAATAGATACGGCCTAATTGAATAATTACTTGTACTAAATTTGGGGGTTCCTTTTCATAATCATATAGTATAATATACCCCCAAACCCTATACTATTTAATCAGGCCCCGACCTTATAAACAAGGCCTCCATGCCATGAAACCCCCGCCGCGCACTGGACCAGGGCCCATCGCAAGTGGGAAGTGTAGGAGCCTGAATCGTCACCAACACTATTTTTGGGGCTCCTTCCCAGACCCCCAAAAGGATCTAAAAAATAGATCCCCTAATTAGGGACCCTAACCACTAAAGTACTTTACAGGAACCTCCTTAGGGGATCTAGTTTTTAGATCCTTTTGGGGGTCTGGGTTATTACTACAAATATACTATAAAGGAGCCCAGAACCCTATTTTGATGAAGTATTAACGCCGCCACATATATAATATAGGGGCCTAAATAATTACCTATACTATCGGGGGGGGGGTCCCTATTTTTAACATAGTATAATATACCCCAAAACCCTATTCCAATCTTTTTTCGGCCCCTATATTAAGCCCTAAACCCTAAACCCAAACCCTCAACCCTCAACCCTAAACCCTAAACCCCAATCGTTTAGGGCCCCTACACAGACAGTTAGTTCAGCGACCCTCAGAGCCCTTGACTCCGCAAGCAAGTCCTGACGATCCGACATCCCAAGGCCCATCAACGCCCCACGGTTTAGGGTTTAGGGTTTAGGGTGTAGGTTTGTTCTTGTTACCCATAGACTGTGTAGAATCCTATAAGGTATTCCCAAAGGGAACTACAATGGAGCCCATGGGCAAGGAACTCCCTAACCATCCAGGTGCCTACTGTAGAGGGTACTAGAGCCTCTAGGGCCCTATATAGTAGGTACCTGGATGGTTAGGGACTGACTTAACTATAGTGATTACCCATAGGCCCCATAGTAGTTCCTTCTTGGGGTTCATATTTAGAAGCCTATAAGGTAATCCCAAAAAGGAACTACTTTGGGCCTATGGGTAGTAATGGTTCCGTCATTAAGAACCTGGCTTAGGTTCATCTCGCACACATGGTCGACGCCCGGACGGTGGGGGCTTTCCGTGGCTCTTTTCTAGCTCAGATGGAATAAGGGGATTTATGCCTAAGGAGGGCATGAAGGGCCGGGGAGGAGGCCGCGGCTGATTGCTTTCATGATTAAGGTTTGGGGGTTTGGGGGTGTTTAGGGTTTAGGTTCGGCGGCTGTTGCTGGGGTCTGCACCGTAGTACCGTGAACGAAGTGCTGAAAGACATTGGTATTGGATTGTATCTGTGCAAGGGCCAAGAGGTTTTCGAGAATAGGTGCTTCATATCTTGGATCTAATATGGAGTCCTCCACATATCGGGTGCTTACTTTATTATAGCTTAGAAAGTCATGCCCTGAATTGAGTAATTAAGCCTTCTAGTATCATTCACTCAACTGTGGAGCCATTTCTGGACAGTCCGACTTCGCGTGTCTGCATGCATGTGGAGCTGGGGGTTACAGAGTTTAGGCTTCAAGATCCATTGCATGTTTTCTGTTTTTGCTGAGTGGTCAGGCGGTGACCCTAAACCCTAAACCGTGGTGGTGGTTCTTTCTCGGCGTTGACGGAAACTCCCCCTTAGGAACATCTAGATAAGTGGTTGTACCCAGAATCCTTGCGACCTTTCTTCACCAGAC